ATTTTCTTCTTTCTCTTTATTTTTTAATTTTGGCTTAAAGGGTGGATTAGCTTGACAGGCCAACAAAATCCCCTCTTTGGTGCCTGTGCCCTGCTGGACAACTTGCTAAAGCATTTAACACTTGAACGCCAAGGCAGGGCACTGTGGGGCTGCTTTGCTCCATCTTTCACAGAATCCCAGGATGGTTTGGGTGGGAAAGGGCCTTAAAGCCCCTCTATTTCCAACCTGGCACTTTCCACAGACCAGGTTACTCCCAGCCCTGTCCATCCTGGCTTCTGTAAGCACCACGAGGCTGGAGTGGGGTGAATTCCCAGCCGTCCTTGTCCAGCAGTGTCCCTGTGCATCCCTGTCCAGCTGAAACCCTCGGAGCAGTGCTGCCCCTAGGACACAGCAGCCCACAAAAGCTGCTCAGTCCCTGATGAGTTTCAAGAACAAATGTTACTCCAATACCTTCATTTTTCTGCTAAGAACTGAAGATTAAAACCCTTTGTCATGCCCCAGCTGAGTCTCCACTCCAGAGCCAGCAGGAGAACACGGAAAGAGCCGAGTTCATGGAAAGCTCCCTCTTGGTGGGTGAGGTTTTCCCCAAAAGTCCCAGCCATGTGTCAAAGAGAAGCAGGGAGGAGTGGGATGGCTCTGGCCAGGCTCACAGATGTGGTGGGTCCCCTCCAGACAATCTCTGCAAGCTCTCCACAGCTCTGCCAGGACCTGGAGCGAGAGCTGGGAATTCAGGCTGGAGCCACACTTCATCCAAGCCCACACAGAGCACTCGGAGCGGAACAAAACTCCAGTTCCCAATTTGGGTTTGTACAGAAAAACTACAATTCTCAAAAGCCTCTGACTGTTGTTTTTCTAACAAGTTAAACAGATGGATTGGAAATAGTATTTACTGTTTATTTCCTCAACATATCAATATGTGAGGAGCCAGTATAAATTACGGTTTGACTGCAAACAAACCAACCCACGCCAAAGCAATAGAGTAAACACTGGTGTATTTTGTTTCAAGTCAATATTATGGGAATTTAGATGGCTGATGTTTCTGTTTTTACTGGCTATCTCTGACTGGCTGAATTTTCAGCCCTGCAATAGGAAAAAAGCATGATGGGTTAAGATTTTTTTAGGGGAAGTTGCTGTGGTGGTTGCTCCACAAAGCATCGGAAGGTTGTCACTTCAGAAGTCGCAGGCTTTAGCAATAGAAACAAGATCCTACCTATTTCAGAACTGTTACTTTTTTTTTTTCCCCTTGAGAAGAACAAGTGTGAAGCCGTTGCCAGGTACTTTGATGGTGGGGTTGGTGGTGCAGCAATCTGTTCCTTTCTCTTTTCATGGCTTGGGCTTTATTTTCTGTGCTGACTTCTTGACCTTTCCAGGAAGCAGTTGAGAGTCCCAAACCAGCAGAAAATCCACACTGCCAAAAGAGAGAAAAAAAAAGGTTTTTCGTGCCATTTTAGTTCCTCCAACTGGCTCATCTTGAAGGAGGAAGATGGGGGAAGCTGAGAATGAGGGGATGAAAGATGAGCCATGAAATTGGCTCAGCTGAGTTTCATCCCTGAACTCTGCACACCAAACCCCCCAAAGTGATGCATGTCAAGCTCGTTACGGCTCAGCCTGCACGTTATTAATTTAACATTAACATTATTAATTTAACATGCAGCCCAGCAAATGAGTGGAGATGTCAGCCCTTGACCAACCTGTCTCGCTGGCCACGTGCTTCCAGCTGCAGTTTCCCAAGCAGCATCTTGTGGAAATTGAGACCAGATGAAGCAAGGGAATGTAAAAAGAGTGAATTGAATATACTCCCCAAATTATTCACTTATTTCAACAAACAAGAATCCCACTGATGTAATATATGACTGGTTTTGATGCTAAAAGCAAATCAAGAGCTGGAATGTACTTACGTGGCTAGACAGTAAATATCTCTGAGTCCTTCTAATCCATTAAATTGCAAGAGTATGTCTGCTTGTCTAAATGGAAGGAGACATCTCTTCTCCCTACCACTGTCATTTACTCCTCCGCTTCCTGCTTCTTTAGCCTTTTCTTTTATTTTTTTTTCTCTTTCCTTTTTTTTTCTCTTAAAAATAGGACTCTTTTTGTATGTGTGAAACTACTGCTACTCCCACTTCAGTTTTCTCCTGAAGTGGAAATGCTGTAGGAATTAGATGGCTGCAGCTTTTCCCCTGGGAGTTTCTGTGGAACCTAAAGCATGGCCTAAAGCTGCAGGTGGGCTTTAACCCTCTCCGTGTGCTTTGTGTTCTGCTTTTTGGGGTGTTTGCTGTCACCTCCTTGCCTGGTGTTGCAGGTGAACACCCCAAATCCATCCCAAATCCAACTGTGAAATATCCTCGTGCTGCTACATTTGATATTCCCACTGTATCCTTGCCCAGGGCTTCATGGCAAGGTAGACCCAGTGCTTTTTCATGGAAACATCTTTAAGGTTGGTAAATGTTGGTTCAGCTCAGAGAAATAATCATTTCAGGATGTTTTAGTCCTGGCAGGGGACTCTGTCTTAAGCCACAGAATCAGCCTGGCTCAGGGTGTCTTAGCAAGATGCAAAAAGAGGTGGAGGTGTAATTTGTCTGTTTTAAACTGATTGGAGATGAAATCAGCTCTCAGGGTGCCCTGTAAAGATATTTTGGGTACAAGTGGAGATCCTGACCATGCAGAGATGGGTATGGGTGTTGACTCCTGCTCCCTGAAGTCCACACAGTGGTTTTTGTTCCCATGTGTTGCCCTCTCATGGTTCCAGCTCCTCATCATGTGCATCAAAGGGTGAGAAAAAGCTCTTCCCAATTTTTCCAGTCTTTCACAGAAGGGTTGAAACTGCTGCTCTGGAATGTGTGCTGTGTGATACTTTCTCCTGGGTGGTGTTCCAAAATCGATTGGGGTTCAGAAGGTCTTTTTCCTGTGGGAATGGTGTTTGCAGGAAGCTTATCAGCTGGCTGATGGAAATCACTTCAGGGCATTCCTCCCAAGGCATCCTCAGACTAGCCCTGCAGCCCAGAAGTTCTGTACCTTGAAGAGCTGATGAGAGTGCCCTCACCATCCTAAAATACCTATTTTTGAAGGGCACAGTTGTGTTAACCTTTGTCTGATCCCACAAACATTAATGAAAAACAGACTTTTTCAATGTCCTGAACAAATGAACTCAGTTGTGGAAGATTTTAATGACAGATGAGAGGAATGAAAATCTCTGCATTTCTCCTACATCTCCAATCCTGTCAAATCCGAAATGTCATCCCCTATGGATCTAGTTCCCTCCCTGCCTGTGGTCATTTATTGGCTTAGTCCCAGCCTGGAGTTGCAGCCCTTGGCAGGAGGGGGTCAGTGCCATCCCTCTGCCAGGTTCAGTGTGAGCCCCTCCGTGCTCCTGGCTTCTGGAATTCTTTGTCTTTAGGAAAACAGGCTTTGGCTACTTCTTTTCCTGGGCTTTTGTCTGCCCTCAGGTTTTGGAGCCACTGAACCTCTTTGGCAGAGACCTTGTAATCACCTCTTCTGCTTGATTGAAATGTTAACAAGTCGTTAATGCAAACACTAAATTACTCAGTGAGACAACAGCCAAATTTCGAGTCTGAAGACTCTTTACACCCCCAATGTTCTAATTTCACATAAATAATACAAATTGGCCTGCATTCTTCATGCAGAATAATGAATGGGAATAATGTGTGCTTGAGTGTGACTTTTTACATGGGCAGGTAGTGATAGGACAATGAGGAATGGTTTTAAGCTAAAAAATAGATTTAAAATAGATTTTGGTAAGAAATTCTTCCCCGGGAGGGTGGGGAGGCCCTGGCACAGGGTGCCCAGAGCAGCTGGGGCTGCCCCTGGATCCCTGGAAGTGTCCCAGGCCAGGCTGGATGGGGCTTGGAGCATCCTGGGATGGTGGAAGGTGTCCCTGGGCATGGCAGGGTTGGGTTGGGATGGGCTTAGAGTTTTCTTCCAACCCAAACCATTCCGGGATTCTGTGATAGATAAGTTAGGTCAGCCTAATCTCCCACCCTTGTCTTCTGCCCTGCAGTATTTCTGTAACACAGAAATTTAATTTCTTTCACCGCAGCATTACCCTCTTGGCACCATGAAGTTACAAACTTGAGAGGAGCTGAAAAATAATCAACTTCATTAGACTTCAAGAATTTTGCTTCAATGGGTTTGAATTGAGAACTTAAAGCTGAACAACATCAAGCTTTCCTATCCCCAAAAACATGAAGTACCAACAAGTCGCTTCCCAGGTCTGTTGGTTCAATATTTATTCTCCATCTCAGGTGTTCAAGTAGGTTTAGAGTAACAGATTATTCTGTTGAACTCACAATTGTTCCCTAAATTTTATTAAAACAGTTTCCCATTTGCTGGAAGAGCAATTTTGAAGTGTTGCACTCCAGCCTGTCACTGGGACTTTGAAAACATCTGAATTGGTTTGTGTCAGAGGAAAGTGGGCAATTATTTCAAACCTTCCATTTTCACTGCTGCAAGTTAGCAACTGCTGGGAGCTGCCTTGTAATTCCTGCACATTTCCAGCTGGACAAATCCCACTAAGATGTATAAAAAGGATGGTGCAGCTGAGTGGTTGTGTGCTCAGCCTGGAAGTGTTGGGTTATTCCCATCTGAAATCCTGTTGCAAATGTTCCTGCTTCTCCCGAGGTGGGCAGGATGTTGGAGTTGCCACTTCCAGAGCTGTTAAAGATCCCTTTCAGACCAGGAGACACGTGCAGCTGGAAATCTCCTCACTCCTCACAGCCTTTGAAATATGAAACTGTGACCTCAGACCACCAAGAAATGCTGGTCAATGGCTTGGGATCCCTTATTAAATATCTGCCAAGGAGCAGCGCTTCCTTTGATGTCACAAATCTGAATGTCTTAGACTTTGCCTCTTTCTGTTTAAACAGGCAAGTCATAAAAAATAATAACTTTCCTTGTTGGTTCACACCTCAGAATGCAGCGCTAAAGTCTTTGTTAGCAAGTTAGAGTCAAGGATTTCTTTCCACTGGTGCAAATATAAAAAAGAGCAAGCAAGGGTTTATTTATAGAGCTCCAGATCCTGCAGAATTCTGAACAACAGATTAAAGGGACTGGTGGTTATTTCATTCTCCAGTGAATGTTTGACTAATTATGAGCTATCTATTTTCTTTCCAAATATCAAAATGGGAAGAAAACAAATGTTTAGCAAACTAAGCCCCGAGTTTATATTTCAAACAAATCTGTGAGGAAATGTGTCTCGCATTCACAGCAGGCTCTGCTCTATTAATCCATCAGAGGAATCTGAGGGGAGCATGGCACTACAGGCAGGATAAGTGGAGGTTTTTAGAAAACTGCCATGAATGTTTTACAACAGTAAATAAAAATACAGATTTTTGTATTAACCTTCAGCTGCTCAAAACGCAGTTTACCTTGAAACTGGAAGACGATGTTTGCTTGTGGGGATGTGAAAGACCAAGTTGATTTCTTCTGAGGCATTTTTGTTTAGCAGTAAAATACAGGACAATTCCTACAGCTGTAGAAATTCCTGATTTGTATTCAGGTGTCTGTCCATGGCCACCACATCCCTGGAATGCCCAAGGCCAGGTTGGAGCAGCCTGGGATAGTGGAAGGTGTCCCTGCCCATGTCAGGGGTGGGATGGGTTGAGTTTCAAGGTGCTTCCACCCCAAATTAGTGTGGAATTCAATATTTTATTGTGAAAAACGCACAAGTCAAAACTCATAGTGGCAGATTTACTTTCACACTACTTCAGGCTCTCTCCTGCCCTCATCTTCCCAAGGTGCTGTTTTTTGGGGGGGTGTTTCCCTCCCATCAGAACAAACTCCCATTCTGGTGCCATAAAAACACTCCTGAAGGTTTCACACAGTTTATTCTGGGTACTCCTAAAGAGCCACGAGAGCAAAGTGCTCACACAGCAGAAACTCAGCTTGCAACACCTTGTTGGGTGACTTAGGGAAGTTCCTGCCTGAGTCTCAGGTTCCCCATCTGTTAGAAACAGTGCTTTGTAAAAGTTCCTTAAGATCTGCTGATGAAAACCATTTTTATACTTTATTTTTTTGCAGCTGTGAACACTTTCCAAGTAAGAAATCCTGTATAGTTACATGTAGATTCATCACTAAAGTGGCAAAAAAGGAAAAAATTCCGAAGAGCTATACATTTTTTTAATTGAAGTGGTTACCGAGGATTAGAATCTGATATTTTCTAGAATAAATAAAAATAAAAGGGATTATTTAAGCAGCTCATGTTCAAAGCCTGCAACTCACAGCAAGTCTGGGTGTTTTGAAGTTTGTAAGGAAATATTCTGAAGCCATTAGGCTGCTGCTGCTGCTTGGAAGCAGAGTGGAGACTTAATTAAAAGTTTGAGGGGGAAGAGAGGATGGTGAAAGTTGTAGAACCATGGGTTGATGTTTTTGAAAAACACAATAATGCTTTTTAATATATGAGGATTTCTAAAAGGGCATGTTTGGATGGGAAAACTTGTTCAGTGCCAGGATTCACTTGCAGCTCCTGGATTCTGGGATTTCACTGCTCTCAGAAAAACATCCTGGGTGTTCCATCACCAGGTTCCTACATTTCTGTGTGTATGGAAAAGGCTGGCTTAGTGTGACTAATAACGAGCTTTAAATCTTTAATTTTTTCTAGATAACTCTACGAGTACAATCACCAAAGGACTTTCATGAGTTTCTTCCCTGTAGATATGTTCACACCTGTATTTCCTATTATTCAAACATTGCCCTTCACTGATTTGTATTCAGCTTTATAAATAATTGCTTTATATTGAAATTATCATTGGTGCTTGACTTGCCCTTTCTTTTCTAGTTGCAGTTTTTCTTGTTGTGTGAATTTGGGGGACTTTGTTGTGTGTGGTGGTTGATTATTCTCCACTCTTTTGACACGGCAACAATGTCAGATATAGGGGTTTTGGTAGGATCCTAATCTGCCTCTTTCCCAGGGGGACTTCAGGGAAATATTGCTGAAGCTTCTGGTCACAGAGGGCAGATGAGGAGGGAGGGAGGAGGTGTTCAGAAATC